AAAGACTCACAGCCCTGGGAATCCCACAAGGCAGGGCCACTCATCCCCACTGGGTCAGTCACTATGAGTCAGAATTGATCCAGCAGCAGCAGGCTTGGTATCCTCTCCTGAGAAGCACTAGATGGCACTCTTATCCTTAGATTTTTTTCAGTTCTGATTCAGGAGTTCTGGATGCTTGATATCTGGAATCCAATACACGTGCATGAGATGGGAGAGGTTAGCTGGTTACAGATGCTGATGGGGCTCTACTTTCCTGTGGTGAAGGTGGGGGGCTCTCTATGTCTTTCCCTCTCAGGTGCCCCTGCACAGGCTTTCCCATAGTGTCCCACTGCGGGCTGTTTCCCTCTGTGTCACCCATCTGTCTGAAGTATTCCACTCACCATGAATTCCTTAAAGTTCCTCCCAGTCCTAGTCACTTCACCCTCTCCCAATTGTGTGGCCAAGAACTGCCACAGCCAATTTGTGCCATTTTAATAAAAATTGAATTCAGCTTTCTCTGATTAGCTCCCTTTCTGTGTTCCTTTTTAGGAGTGTTGCCAAGCCTCATCGCAAAATGGCTGTGATGAGCAAATGTTCCCTATGTTAGCGGGTGGGTTCTTGGAGCTTCTGTGCTGTCCCGCTAGGGGAGTAAATAGAAGCATCCAATCACTTCACCATCTTGCTCTGCCTTTCTCCATCTTTGCTTTTGAACACTTTAAAGAGGTCTTTGCAGCAGATTTGCCCAGTGCAATACATGTGATTTCTTGACCATTGCTTCCATGAGTGTTGATTGTGAATCTGAGTAAAATGAAATCTTTGACAACTTCAATATTTTCTCTGTTCATCATTAAGTTGCTTATCGGTCCAACTGTGAGGATTTTTGTTTTCTTTATGATGTTAGGTAAGCTAATTACATAACATAGATGGTTTTCAGTATTCAGTAGATGAATAATGCTCTTAACCCTAAAATGGGTGAGGGGGGTGTTTCAAGATGCCCTGATAAGCAGAGCAGATTATGTGTGATAAGAAAACCCTCAAAAGCTGCATTTTAGAATCCAACATTTGAGTTTTTTGGGCCAATACATAAGAATTTACTTGATCCTTAAGTTGGTGAAAATTATTTCCCCAGATTCCTCAATTCAAAGAATTTTAGTTCTGAAAGAAACACAAAACATGAGTCCAGCTGACTGTTTTTCACCAAAGTGAAAACTTATTGCCTAAGGTCATGTGGTAAGTTTGTGACAGAATTATCACTGTGATTCAGGCCTTTTGACTCCCAGTTCAATTCCCAATGCACTCTGCTGTCTCACTCTTCTATTTTATGTGACACAAAAAATGTGAGACCCTTAAAAATATCTGTTTTATGGAATTTCAGCCTTTAAAGACAACCTTTCATAGAGCAATTTAAAACATGTTTCTCTTTGAAAAAACTGATTCTCTTGGTTTAATACATTTAATACAGTTATTCTAACTTGCATAAGCATGTATTGTCTAAGTTACTTCTAAGACATCCAAACATTCTAGAGAGTAATCCAGTTAGCATCCTCCTTTCCCAGGGAAAGCACACACGTACATTGACAGAGGCAACAAAGATTTATGTTCTATCTATCTTCTTTAAGATGGCATCTTAAAATTCCTTCCATTTAGATATTTAGAAGGCTTACAAAGGTGGCCAATCTCTGAGCTGGACATCACTTATCTCTTGCCTTCACATATATACCAGGATTCACACCCTCTTCATCCTCCCTAAATAGATCCTCTATGAATGAAAAGAGAGCAAAGACAATTAAAATTTCACAATACATTCTTTTCATTTACCTTAATTTGTACACTAAATATTTTAGGCTTATATGGTATACACAGTTATTATGAAGAAGTAATACAAGAAGTTGGTATGTGTAAATCACTTAGAACAGTGCCTCTTATGCTTAGAGGAATCCCGGGTGGTGCAAATGCTTAATGGGTTGGTTGCTAACCAAATGGATGGAGGTTCAAATCCACCCAGAAGCACCTCAGAAGAGAAGCTTGTGATTTAATTCCAGAAAAATTGGTCATTGAAAATCCTATGGCGCACAGTTCTACCTTGATATAAATGGAGCCACCGTGAGTCAGAATCAATTCTGTGGCAACTGGTTAATCCATGTCACTTGTTTTGTATCAAGAAAATAATTTAGTTAAAGGAAAGTTCCTTTTTTAAAAAAAAAAAAAAAATATTTTACACCAAATCACCAAATGCTTAAATAATACCTCCAATCCTATTAATTGAAAGACAATTAAGAAGTCCTTTCAAAATACTTTTTGTGGTGCGTCATTGATTAATATGAAGGGTTTCAGTACCTTTCAATAAGAAGTAGGATAATCAAATCATACAAGTAGAAGCAATGTGACAAGGTGAAATTGAGCATTAGTACCAATTTCTGAGTTCAGGATAAGGTTTCATTTCTAAGAGTAAATGTAATAAAATACCAACAGGAATTCAAAACCTAGCCATGGTGTTGATTATTTGAATTTTAATTAATATAAAGGTTTTCCCATATATATTTTGAAGTAAATTTTATTGAAGACTCTTTTTCCTTAAAAAAGTTGCAGATTTGGGATCCAACTCTATCAATATAAGGAGAAATTTAAGGGACAGAAAAACTATCTCTTATCCTCGTTCTGTCAAAATCACATATTCAACAATTCTTATAATAATTTGGCTAGAAAGAATTATATGGGGACCAATTACTATGAAGATGAGTTGTCCTTTATCAAACTCTTTTAATCCCTTGCTACTCAAAGTATGGTGTGTGAACCAGCAGCATCAGTGCTAGAAAAGCAGAAATCCAAGCCCCATATCAGACCTACAGAACCATAACCTACATTTAAAAGGATCCCAGAGTGTTTCTTATGCACATTAAGGTTTGACAAGCACTACTTTAAATTAAATTTGGAGAAGGCAAGGGAGAGAAGGAATGAGTAGAAACAGTTGTATTTATATATGTATTTTTTTTACTTAACTATACATGTCACAGTAAGAGGTATATGATACAATATTATATACTGAGAATGTGTGAAGATATTTATACTGATTGTCGTGTTTAAGTATCACAACAAACTATGGGATTGGAACTGTTATTGACATTTTATAATGAGAAAACCGAGATTCACAGAAGTGGATAGGCCAAGTTCACACACATAGTAACTGGCAGGAGCAGAGGTGGATTAACCAGTAAGCAAGGTATGCTCAGGCTTACAGTAAACAAGGTATGCACCGGCTTAATTGTGTTTACTTACTAATCCGTATTGCACAATTTCACATGGGTTTGTGGTGAAAAACAGGTGGAATTGTGCATACAGATTAGTAAGTAAGCACAAGTAAGCCCGTGTGTAACCTTGCTTATTAGGCAATATGCCTCAGGAACTAGAGCAAACTATCATTATTTTATATGGCCTAACCTTACAAGGTCTAGCATATGGTTATGTGGACATTCTGACTTAGATCAAAATACAGTGCAAATGTTTGAATGGAGAATATGTAAGTTATACAAAGGCTGTAATGGGGGGAAAAAATCTACCCTGAATAAAAAGCATCTTTTAGTGCATGAATCTTAAACAGCACAAACTTTTAAAATCTCCCAGTATCTGTCAATTTGTGGTTTCTGAGAGGGTAAAATATGCAATCAGAAAATTTGGATGGGCGTGAGTAGTGAATAATCACTCATAAACCAAGTAAGTTGAACTGAGCTTAAACCTCTACTCATGAAAATATCAAGTGGGACATTAAGAATGAATTCTAAAACTATTTAAGAATGCTCTGGAAAGAAATGTAGAATCAAATAGATGCACGTAAGTATTTTCTTTCTTTAGTTATAGCTATTTGTTGATAAATTATAAAGATTCAAGAGGCTCCTGTATTTAACAGATTTTTTTTTTTTCCTTAGAGTGGTGCTTGTGGGGACCAAAAAACAAGCAAAAATAAAAGACATACTACAGTGATTTTCTTATGCATATGTAAGAATCGATATATACATAATATATTCAAGTTCACAACTAACATGATCAAGAGAGCTGACTTTTATTGAATGCTTGCTTACATATAAGGTACTGTAACAAGAGGTTTTTGTTTGTTTTTCTAAAATCATTTAATCTTAACCATGGGGTAGGACTAACTTTATTCAGATGAAGAAACAGTTATTAAGTGTTAACGCCACGATTTAAAAGCAGGTAGCGTGATTCCCTTTCTCACAATTTATATTGCCCAACCTTAGGAAAAGATTTCTTATCTTCCCGTGTGTTTAACATATTTCAGGTTTCCTCTGTCTTCAAGACAAAATATACACACAATTTTCTATTGGGACTCTTTTAGAGATATATATGATCTTCTATTTACAGTCACACTGACTTAATAGTCTTATAAGTGGGATACATATCTTAGTTTCATTTGATCAATATATATGTATTCCCATAACTCATTAACCTATTGCCGTCGAGTCAATTGCGACTCACATAGCGCCTTTTTCATTTAAAAAAAAAAAAAAAAAAGACTGAACGATAAACTATACTGTAATTTGTTTCCTTGCACCATCTAGTGGATTTAAATGACAACCACGGCACTGCTATAAATGATTACAAGTCAACTATATGATAAGTCAAATTTTCATACGAATCCAGAGGAGTATAGTTCCTAAAACTGTATTTCGGGACATATCACAACAACGCAAGTGATTATTATTATTACTATTTTCCTCAGAGGAAACCAATTAAGCATGGGTGCTGAATTTATTTGCGAATGTTAAAATCTAAAAATAAAAGAACATCCTAGGTTTGTTTTTTTTTTAAATTAGAGATAATAAAAGTTAGACACATTTTAATTCTTGCCACCCGTTTCCACAAACTCTAACACTCCCAAGGCACCGGCAAAAGCAGCTAGAGTATGAGCGGAGCCACTGCGCAGGCGGGCTGAGGAGCGGAAGCGGGGAGGGAGGGAGGCGGGGCTAGGCCCGGACGAGCGAGCGGAAGAGGCCCGGGCGGCTGAACTGAGGCGTGGGGGCGGTTTGGTTTTGAGTCTCGGGGTAGCCAGCGCTCAAAGCTTCAGACCCCGGGAGAGATCAAAGCCAACAGAAGGAGTTGGGGTTCCGGAACAGTCGCAGCTGCCGCTGCCTTCTTGTCGCCGTCGCTGACGCCCCCGCCGCCACCGCTTGAGGACGCGGCCCTCAGAGGCCTCTGGGCCTAGGCGCGTCTCGCGGAGCCCGAGGTGTTGCCTCCCGTACAGCTGTGAGTAATACGAGCGCCCTCTCTGCAGTCGATTGCAAATTAAAATGGAGGAAATTTCGTTGGCTAACCTGGATACTAACAAGTTAGAGGCCATCGCTCAGGAGATATACGTAGACCTGATAGAGGATTCTTGTTTGGGATTCTGCTTTGAGGTGCACCGGGCAGTCAAGTGTGGCTACTTCTACCTGGAGTTCGCAGAGACTGGTAGCGTGAAGGATTATGGCATTCAGCCAGTGGAAGATAAAGGAGCGTGCCGCCTCCCGCTTTGCTCCCTTCCTGGAGAACCTGAGAATGGGCCTGATCAGCAGCTGCAGCGCTCACCTCCAGAATTTCAGTAGCTGCAACATGAGAGAGCCAGAGAATGACCAGCACAATAACATAGACTGGTCCTGTGGCTTGGAGAAGTAAGCTAGGTAGAAAAAAATCAGACAACATCAAAATTCCCCTTGAAGATCCTATCTTTTAAAAACCCAAAATGGAGAATTTAGCAGTTCAGATCCTTTTTTTAAGTGTATTACTTGGGACCAGCTCTGAAACCTTGGGCAGGAAGAGCTGTACTGCGTGCTCATCACGCAATGCAGGCTGATCTCTAAACACACCAGGATGTGCACGAGGTCTTTGAGCTGCTCCCAGTACACAGATGAGCAGCTCTCTGCCCAGAATACAAAGCCCTTTGGTTCCTCAGCCTTTCTGACCATCTGATGCCAAGGGCTTTCTGCATAACTGACAATTTGGACATTACTGATGGTTAGGCCCTAATCACTTGGCTTCAGTAGGACCTCTGTGGCCTTCACTCCAACAAGAAGAAAGCGCCAAATCCACTTGTTTCTGAAAGGTCCAGCATTTACAAGGACTTCCGCTGACTTGGGGACAAGGGCTAGCCTTTGGCTGAACAGAGCCCTCTTTCCTGACTCCCACCTGTTGACATAGCCCTGACAAATGGACAACAACTTGGTTGTCCAGACAGGCTGAGGTAAAATTAGATCCCCTGGGGAGGTGACAGGGGCATCTGCAACTATGCACGATCTCTCAAACTGTAAGAGTCATATCTGGATGTATTATTCTTGGACATAGATTGGTGTGGCAGTCATTTTCCTGCTGTCAATTACTAGTTTCCTAGCCATGGTTCTGACTTGGTCACTATGCCACTTGGTCACTACCTGTCTCCTTCCCCAAGGGCAGCACCGAACTATAGAGGAGCATCATGGTTTTGTATGAGGCTGTGGTTTGAAAGCTGAGCCCAAAGGGTACTTCTTCCACCTGCAGTCAGTAATGTGAATGGGTTAGTGCTAGGAGCCAAGGAACAGGACTGGGTCTTCTCTCATTTGACTACATGCAGAATTATTGAATGCCCTGCTCCTTGGGTTGGGCAGTCACAGAGTTCAGTCGGCTGTGCTGAGCGTCCAGACTTACCACCTCTGCCCCCTTGTAGGGGCAACGCTTTCTACTTGGTCTCCTTGGACCTTCTTCACAACAGGAGGTGTCCTTTGTTCTTGGAAGTCAGGGAAGGGCCTCCAGGTTCCCTTTCCTTCAGAGAATGGGATAGGGATGTTGGGAAATGAGAACTGCATATCAAAACTACTCTCCACTTTACTCCTTGACTGATAGTTGGTGACTTGTAGAGGGGTGGGAGCCCCAAGGTTAGCAGGAACGGTGCTGCTTTATTTGAAAGGTTTTCTTACCTCATTCTGTGCCCCAATAAGGGGCCCAGGCTCTCCTTTCTGGCTTGGTCCCATGTTTCTCCTGTCCCGTTCTATTGCCTATTTGGTGCAGCCCAAGTTCCCAGGTGCTGCTTGCCACCCTGGCTTTCACACTGACCAGTTTCAATTCATCTCTCTTGATAACTCCTGTTTCTGAAGGCTAGCCAGTTTTCCTTTCCTTGGCCTCTTTTAAGTTTTTGTTTTTTCCCTGCTCTTGTAGAGGACTCAGAAGAATCTTGCTTATGCCTCTGTTGGGACTGGGTTGGAAAGATAACTTAATTTTTGCATTTGAAAGGCAGTGTCATACCTAAACATTTCTCCTTTATAAAACTACCCTGCTAATTATGCCCTCCTGTGGCTTACCTCTTAAGGATTTACACCTTCCCACCTCCACTTGGACACTTTCTCTCTTAGGACCTAAGCAGAAGAGCAGTAAAAGCTGACTAATAAACACAGGGATGGAGGTGGTTCTGATCCATTTTCTCAAACCCCTGCTGTGCATATATCTTTCGTGCTTCCAGAAGGAACTATTTAAATTGTTCGGACTGATCTGGTTTATATGCTCAAGAGGGTTAAGGAAACCTTAGAGATTAGGTCTCAAGATTCTGTGTGTTACTGCATTCTCCTAGAGTTGTCCTGATAAGAGTTGAGGCCTAGTTATAGATTGGTCTTTAATTGAAGAATTGTGATAGTTTTTAAAAAGTCAAAGAGCTAAAATAATTTTGAGGCCTAGGTTTTTTTTGCCCTTAACCTTTTGTAGATGTCTTCTAAGGGGATGCAAAAGCAAAGGAGGATTTGAGACTCCAGCCTACTTTCAGATGATGTCGTGGAAGCAGGTTGAAGGTAAGGGTTCTGGTCCATTCTTCCTTCAGAGAGGGAACACAGAGCGTAACATTACTGTTCCTCCTCTGACTTTTTCCATCCTGGTTGGAGGTGGAAGAAGTGGAAACTAGTTTTGAGTGATGGTTTGTTCATATTACCTCCCCCTTCGTTTTGTTTTTTGGCCCCCCACCATTAGGGTATATTCCCCTGCCCTGAATGGGTATGAGGTGGACTTGGTCCAAAAGGAATCCTGAAGGAACAAACTCTTTTCTTTTTGGGGAGAGAATGCCCCCTACCATATAGTTGACAGTGGTTAGGAACTCTCCTTTTCCCTACCTACCTTCCCTTAACAGCAGAATTCCCATCCTTCCCACCTCAATTATGTGTATTGACCACCTTGTAATCCTATTATGTATCTGAATGTGTGTGTATGGGGGAAAGGGGTTCTTTATAAATTTCTGTGGTTTGTGGATTTTTCTTCTATACATTAGTTCCCACCACCGCATGCCCAGGGGCCACTGCCTGGCATTATAGCATGCTGGGATCATTAGGGGAGGGTAATGAGGCTCACCACTGAACTTTGTTTTGGAGATTCTTATTTTTGCATAAGTAGTCCTTCCTTTACAGATAGCTAACTAATTCTGTGTATTCCCCTTGTCCCTATGGCTGCTGGTGTAAATAAACTGCATCTTCCCATTGGTAAACAGTAATAATAAACAGTTAGATGAAAATGACTTTATTTGGGCTCTGTATGTTAATCTTTTAAAATTGTACATGTTTTTCAGGCATTGACATGGTAAAATAAATGTTGAATCACTGTTGAATCTTAGTCACTTTCTCTTGAAGGGAAATTTTATCACAGAAAAACTGCTCAACCCTCATTAACCTAAGCCCATTTTTGTTGGTTTTGATTCCGTCTCATAGGGACCCTATAGGGCAAAGTAGAACTGCCCTGTAGGGTTTTCTAGGCTGTAATCTTTACAGAAGCGGACTACCACATCTTTCTCCCAGAGAGCGGCTGGTGGGTTCGAACCACTGACCTTTTGGTTAGCAGCTGAGCTCTTAACTGCTGTGTCACCAGGGCTTCTTTGTTCTCAGTCGAGTCTTGCAAATTTGGTCCTGCAGCAGCCAGTGAAAGAAACATGCAAACAATATAAAATCTTCAGTTTTCAATATGAGGTTAAACCAAATAAACCAAATCCATTGCCATTGACTCGATTCCAACTCCTAGCGACACTATAGGACAGAGTAGAACTGCCCTATAGAGTTTCCAAGGAGCAGCTTATGGATTCAAACTGCTGACCTTTTGGTTAGCAGCAGTAGCTCTTAACCACCGTGTCATGAGGGCTCCAAAAATACGAGGTCAGAAGGTGGGAAATAAATAGAACCTAGGCCTATCACTAACAGCCCACTGTGAGAGTTCAATTTGAATAGAACTCACTATCTTAATAGGTCTTACCATCATTTCAAGCCAATGTCCTTGATCTCAAAAAAGTAAATGATACACAGCAGAAAATAGGCATCTGCTCTTCTAAAGGGGAGTTTTTATTTCTCTTTTGCTCCAACTCTAGGTCTTATTGTTTTCAGAGTAATTCTGAAGTTTTTCATTTCTTGTAATTCCTAACCCAGAGCTTGAGTATTTCCGCTGGAAATTGTTGCATATTGCTCCTTAGTACTGATCAAATTCACTTTTTTTGCTACATGTTCTAGTTTATTAAATATTTCCAAATTGGAAAGAAAATATAGATAAAAGTTATAAAAATGGAGCCAGAGGGAAAACTTTTACTAGGATACCTCAGAGAACCTTATAGATACGTAATAGGGTGTTGAGTCTTCTCGCCTTCCAAGTATAATGAATTAAATGCCATACTAGTTTAATAATGACAGTGGTCCAACATGGTGTTGATTTGAGTTGAGAAAATATAAAAATTTGACTTCTAAAAAAGACAGCTATAGCAAGAGCAATAAGTTGCTGAAATGAAATATCACTAACATTTTGCTTTAAACCAGTTTCTACTACTTTACTGAAATTGAGTTACAGAAATTTAGTGTCACCAAATGCAGCAATAGCAAATACTTTGGGATCTTATTTCATATGTTTAGATTTGCATTAATGTATTCAGTGCTAACCTGGTTTTCTGAAATGAGGTATTTGCAAGACCTTCTCAAGCTTTAAATTTATTTGAAATAGGACTTTTAAAACTATTTAATATTTTTTAATTGTTGTTGTTAGGTACCATTGACTTGATTTTCAACTCATAGAGACCTCATGTGACAGAGTAGAACTGCCACATAGGACTTTCTAGGCTGTAATCTTTACAGGAGTAGATAACCAGCTTTCTCCCATGGAGCCTCTGGGTGGGTTTGAACCACCAACATTTTGGTCAGCAGCCAAGTGCTTAACCAGGGCTCCTTTAATGAAATTAGTTTCTTTATATTTAAAAAAAAAAACCCTTTCAACAGCAGGCAGCATGAGGTCAGGAATATGATATGTGGTTACTTATGTTGGCAAAAGATAAAGACAAAATGAAGGATGGTCAAAAAGCTAAGGATTCAGGAAGAGCTTTTTTATTTTTTGCATGTAGAGCTCAATAATTTAGTAACATTGTCTTCCATTAGGAAGTTTTAAATTGTTTTGTAATTTAAAAAAATTATGAAATGAAATATATTAATGTTTATAATGAAAAACACAACCTTTACACTTTATTAAACATCTTTTTACTGTATCTTTAAATAAATATCATAATTAATTAATTCCCAGGTCTCAGATCAGCCAGGAAGAACTTCTAACATTAGACTTAGGAAGTTTTCCTCTGTTGTGTAGTGCACAGACTCTCGTTTTCATTCAGGTTCCAAAAATGCCCATGATCTTGTAGTGAAGGAAAATATTTATTATAAGTGATGTGCTTGTTTAAAAAGATATTGTAGATGAACCTATAAAGCCTTTTTTGTTTTTCATTTTGAAAACATTTTCAATCATGCTATATTACTCCAACTTCACTGAAAATACATGAGCTAAGAAGGAAATGCTGAATTCATTTTAGAGATGAGAAAACATATTCAGAGATGGTGACTTGTCCACAGTTCAAAAACAAACAAAAATCCAGAATTGAGAAGCAAAAGTAGAATACTTGTGGTGTGATTTCTAGACCAGTGCTCTTTGTTGATGCAATAAAATGTCTAATCTAATAAATGATGTTGGCATCTTTTGGTTTCATAGTTTTGTGATTCTCCCGAGCCCCTGTGTGCTAGAGAGATATGCCTCAGAGACCTCTGAAGGAAGGATGAGTTTCCTGGAGAAAGCCAAAAGAGCAGCTTTGATTCTATACAGGCATTTTATACATCGGGGCATTAAAACAGTTTATTTTGCTTAAAAATATGATTATAATTCACAAACTTATTCCACTTTTTTAATGTGTTTTTATTTCAAAATGTAAATCTCTTCTCCTAACTGTGAATATGCAACTCCTTTCTTGCAACAGGTAAAACGATTTCAGAAAATTTCAGTACAAAATAATCTAGAAATGGTTGAGCATGCTTGTAATAATTGATAGCTGAACTGCTAAAACAAAGGAAAATGAAGAGCAGAGGTTGGGAAAACCATAGAAGAGAGCAGTAGATACCAGCAGTATCAGTTGACTCCAGTGCTGTCCTGAGTTCCTTTAATAGCCTTCCAGGAAACAAAACTTTGAACCCATAGGCATCAAGCAATTGCAGCTAAGATAACTCCATTTGAAACTGGGACTCTTTAAGGACTACTCATCAAAGAAAAAATGAACTGGAAAAAAAGATACTCTATCCATTAATAATGGGAGGTAGCAATAAAGCACATCTGTATTAGCATAGACTTGGTGGAAAAAGATCTCTCTCCAAGTAATTTGATACCAGAGGTCCTACCATCAAGGATATCTACTTCACTATTCACTACACTCTCTAAGCTCTTTTGACGATAGTCCTTGAAAGTACTATTTTAAAAAAACAGACTACAGTTAAAGAATGAAAAAATCATAAATGAATACTTATGAACAGCCTTAAGGCACTTAATTTGAAAACAAAAATGTAAAATCTAAAACATAACGTCAAAATTAACTCACAAGGAACTAAAACAAATTGATTGAATACATCTGTAACCACAAAAAAGAACTCATCTCACTTCTACCCAGATACATAAAACACCAGGCACTTTGAATTTTACAGCCAATACAGAAAAAAAAGAAAAAAAAAGTCACTTCAGGCTAAATGTTTTATGAAGATAATATGAAAAAAAATCAAGATGTTAGCAAACCAACTCCTTTAAAGTACCAGAAATAAACATCAAATCAGGTTAATCCCAGGAAAACATGATTTGCATCAGGAAATCACATTATCATTAAGAGAATAAAACATGAAAATTTCAATAGATCGAGAAAAAGTTTGATAAAATTCAATACCAATTATTGATTAAAAATACTAACAATAATGAAATAGGGGCTAAAGACATTCCACACACTGATAATGAATATGCACCAAAAATTAATGTGAAATACTTGGAAAGAATTCCTTTAAAAGCAGAAATGGAGAAAACAAAATTCTTGTTCTCAGAATATATTGACATGGATAATTGTATAGAATCAATAGAAAGCACTAAAATTAATACATTAATGTTGCTGGATATAAGATAAAGATCCAAATTCAATTAGAGTATTAAAATTTTTAAATGTTACCTTTTATGGTGTAATATAGCAAATTATAATAGTCCTATAAATTAATATAACAAGAGGAGTCTAATGATGAAGTAGATCATAAAATTTTCTTACATGTTGAAGAAAATTCAAATGGAGAATGATAGCATGCTCATGGATATTATCACTCCAAACGTATGAATTGAAAGCAATTTTTATTAAAAGCCAAATAAACATTTCATGGAACTTGAGAAGCTAATTTTAAGGTTGATATGAAAACCAAGGTGAAAGAATAGACAAAATCTTTTTGAAAAATGTTAGTTTCTTACATAGTGTAGTTTTTGATGTAGAAACAGTGGAAAAGAATAGAGAGTTTAGAATTAGATGGAAATACACATCCACATTATTGTCATCTTGATTTATAACTAAGTTGGTATTAAAGTCAGTGGATTATATACCAGTTCTAGAATTGATTATCCGTAAGTAAATAAAATTATCCATCCTCAAGCCATATACAAAAATTAATTCCCATGTGAATTAAAGACATACTGTGGAAAAGCAAAACTTCAAACCTTTGTAAGCAAATATAGGAGGATATGTTTATAATTGTGGGCAATGGAATAATTTATTAAATAAAAGCACCAATCATAACAAAAAAAAAAGACATTGGACCATAAGAAAATCAAAAATTTCTGTGCAGTAAATTATACTAGGGGAGGAAAAAACAAAAAACATCTTAGTAGAAGTTATTTGCAGGTATTATAACTTAAGAAGAATTATTAACAAAACAGTAATAAGATAAACAAATGGACAAAATAAAAGTTCATTCTTAGAAGAAATTCAAATGTCAAAAGAGACCTGAAAATTTCACTCTGGTTCAGAAAAATGCAAACTAAAACCAAATGGGATACCAATTTAAACCACTCAGTATGGTTAAAAAGAAAGGATAATGATACCAAGTCTGCTAGATATATGCAGCACTGATAGATTATAGATAGAGATATATTGTATACAACAGTGTACATTTTACACATTGGACTGTAAATTGGAAAAACATTTTAAAAAGTAATTTCAAAATATCTATTACAGTTGAAGATAAGGGTAACCAATACTCCAATATGTCTACCTCTTGTAGGATTATTTTTAATAGCAAAAAATTGAAAGTGATGTAATTACTCATTTTAAAAAAGAATATACAGTGCTATATGGAAACTTAGCCAAAGCTGTAGTATATATGAATCACAAAGTATTAATTAAAACATATTCTTACAATTTGCTGCCTTTATTTGAAGATTAGTAATATGTAAATTAATGCTATGTATTCTTTAGGGATATATGTATAGTCAATAAAAAAATACCAAAAACCTTGGACCAGACTTCCACTTCCATGTGTGGCAGCCTGGGTATTTGAAAAAGAGTTCTTGAAGCAAAACACCTGGTTTGAATAAATTGAAACAAATATAGTTTTATATGTATTGCTATCCTTCCAAAAAAGTAGGGGAAATATTCAACTCTCTTTTCTAGTACACACATGTGTAGACACACACACAATAAGCACAAAGCAAAGACACAAGTCAATGCAGAAAAATGGGACTGCACAGGAGAAAGCATATGTACAAGGACTTTTCAGATGGAAAAGGAAGATTAGATCTTGATCCTCACAGACTGAGACTGTTAAACACCCGTATATATACAAACAAACAAAAACCCATTGCTATGGAATCAATTCCGACTCATAGTGATCCTATAGTACAGAGTAGAATTGCCCCATAGACTTTCCAGGGAACAACTGGTGAATTCAAACTGCCAACCTTTTGGTTAGCAGCCTAGCTCTTAATCACTGAGCCACCAGGGCCCCATATAAACACAATACACCTGAAATGTTTACATCCTTAATGAAAAGATAGGCTGTGTTAAAAAATGCAGAAAAAAAAAAACATTCTGACTATAGAAAGAACAGCCATGGCTTGAGGTGAAACAAAAAAATTAATAATAGCATCACCACCATTATCACTAAACCAAACCAAACCCACTGCTGTGGAGTTGATTCCAACTCATAGTGACCCTGTAAGACAGAGCATAACTGCCCCATAGGGTTTACCAAGGCTCTAAATCTTTAAGGAAGCAGACTGCCATAGCTTTCTCCTGCAGCGGGGCTGGTGAGTTTGAACCACCGACCTTTTGGTTAGCAACCAAGCACTTTAACCAGTGCACCACCAGGGCTCATCATTACTACCTCTGGGAATTAGTACCCATATTCTTACTTTCACTTGGTACCCTACCTTGCCAGTCAGAGAAAGCTCTACCCGAGAATTAAAGAAAGTATTCCAAGATAATACCCTACCTCTTGGCTACCTGGCAGAATCTGAATCCCTCAAGATGCTCACAAAATTTAAGCTGGCAATTAAAAAATAAAGAAAGAAAGAAACAAGTCACCATAAGTAAGAGCCAACAAATGATAAACTGATAAACTACGGAATTAGAACTCTTTTCTGGTAATTAGAATTATTAGATGTAGAATATGATAGTTCTGAATGAAATCTTAAAAAAAATATGTAATTTTAAATATGAGCAGGGAATAGGAGAGAATGATGATGCAGATA